AAGATGAAGACCAGGGGGCCCACACCCTGTTCACGAGGGTGGGGGCACGCCTCCCCCCCTAGGGCGCGCCCCCTACCTCGTGGGCCCCCTGGACACCCTCCGACGCCAACTCCAACTCTATTTATTGGCTTTCGGGGAGAAAAAAATCAGAGAGAAGAAATCATCGCGTTTTACGATACATAGCCGCCGCCAAGCCCTAATCTCTCTCGGGAGGGCTGATCTGGAGTCCGTTCGAGGCTCTAGAGAGGGGGATTCGTCGCCGTCGTCATCATCAACCATCCTCCATCACCAATTTCATGATGATCACCGCCGTGCGTGAGTAATTCCATCGTAGGCTTGCTGGACGGTGATGGGTTGGATGAGATTTATCATGTAATCGAGTTAGCTTTGTTAGGGTTTGATCCCTAGTATCCACTATGTTCTGAGATTGATGTTGCTATGACTTTGCTATGCTTAATGCTTGTCTCTAGGGCCCGAGTGCCATGATTTCAGATCTGAACCTATTATGTTTTCATGAATATATGTGTGTTCTTGATCCTATCTTGCAAGTCTATAGTCACCTACTATTTGTTATGATCCGGCAACACCAAAGTGACAATAATCGGGACCACTCCCGGTGATGACCATAGTTTGAGGAGTTCATGTATTCACTATGTGCTAATGCTTTGTTCCGGTTCTCTATTAAAAGGAGGCCTTAATATTCCTTAGTTTCCAATAGGACCCCACTGCCACGGGAGGGTAGGACAAAAGATGGCATGCAAGTTCTTTTCCATAAACACGTATGACTATATTCGGAATACATGCCTACATTACATTGATGAATTGGAGCTAGTTCTCTGTCACCCTATGTTATGACTGTTACATGATGAACCGCATCCAGCATAATTATCCATCACCAATCCGGTGCCTACGAGTTTTCCATATACTGGTTCTCGCTTATTTACTTTTCCGTTGCTACAGTTACAATCACTACAAAATACCAAAAACATTACTTTTGCTGCCTTTACTTTTGTTACCATTACCACCACTATCATATTACTTTGCTACTAAACACTTTGCTGCAGATACTAAGTTTCCAGGTGTGGTTGAATTGACAACTCAGCTGCTAATACTTGAGAATATTCTTTGGCTCCCCTTGTGTCGAATCAATAAATTTGGGTTGAATACTCTATCCTCGAAAACTGTTGCGATCCCCTATACTTGTCGGTTATCACCCCTCCCGATAACTTCAACACGTGGGGGGGGGGTCGATATACCCCCTCCCCGATAATATTATTTTCCCATGTACGTATGTCGTCGTTGTCGATATAAACCCCTCCCGATAACTTCAACACGTGGGGCGGTCGATATACCCCCTCCCCGATAACATTATTTTCCCGTGTATGTGAAGCGTCATTGTCGATATAACCCCCTCCCGGATAACTTCGACATGAGGGGCGGTCGATATATATGACAATTTAAGTTTTGGAAGTTAAACTCTAGCATTTCTTGTTTTCATGCATGCTTCAAATTGTCATATTATTTTACAAAATTTTGCATGGGAAAGTTTCAACTCAATACATATGTGCTTGTTTATTTAGAATTTTTAAAACTTACAAATGCATTTTTGCCAAGTTATAGAAAGTGAATACGCCATAACCCATGATTATTGTAGTATTGTTTGTCTTCTTTCAATGAAGTGGAATAGAATAATAGTCTAGTTTAAAGAAATGCCTTCCTTTAACCAATCGGCACGTTAGTACAGGATGTTTTCTCTCCATTATGCAATAAGTTCTTTCTTAGTCACATGTTTATAATAAAGTTGTAATTACGACACAATTCTTTTGGCATGCAAGAATTTTTTACTAGAGGCGGCTCTAAGACTATCCATAGTGAGGAATAACTTAGACTAGTAGTATGCAGTGGTGGACCTAGCATTGGCTGACGCCCCAAGCAAGAAACTAAGGGCTAAAAACTATCCAGGAAAAAACTTCAGTTTTCAGGCATATAAAAGTCGATCTATGATGCATAACTAATAAGAAATTGAACATAATATTCAATGGCAACATTTGTTTCATGATGGGTGAACTAATAAAGCAAAACAAATCAAAAGACAATATGTAGCATAGATAGATGATACAAAAGATTGATACCAAATCAAAGGATTGGTTGGTCTGAGCCTCCCATGATTACATCTTCAATAGCAGAAGAAGCTAAACCTTCAATCATCAATTTTGAAATGCAAGTCAGTGCATAATATAGCATGTAAAACTAGTTAATGATATTGATACATGAAAAATATGAAAACTTACGTATAGGATGAGGCGAAATGACTTTACGTGTGCGATAACCTTGAAATCGCCCAATGATCTTTGATTCCTTAATACTAACAAATACATCTCGCTCAATGTAACATGTCGTTCTATAATTCATCCAATCATCATCCATTTTGTTCCTCAATCCAGTCTTGATAATGCTCATTGCTGAAAATGCTCTTTCCACTGTTGCGTTTGTAATAGGTAAAATCAATGCTAACTCAACCGGACGGTAAACCAAGGGAAAAGTTCTGTGCATATCACTTTTAACCATATTCATGGCAAGATGACCAAGATCATTGCAATTCATCAAATGTGGATCAGCTCTTGCATTCCGAATGAATGAGTCTAGTTGGTTTCTAAGGACGAAAGTAACTTCATATGTAGAAAAGTCAGCGGCATACATATTAGCAAGATCTACTAGCTAATCTTCATTATAATTGGCAAATGAATTCTTGGGATCAAGACAAGCAATGCATCTCAACAATTGAGTAGACCTTTCGGTAAAGCGGTTGTTTAACTCCACAATAAGTTGATCATGCAACACATTGAATATTTCAATTCTTAAATGATGGTTGTAAGTTACCAATTGCCCGCCCCAAGTCCTTGAACGTCCATTCGCAGTTCTTGTATCTTCCATATTTGGCACTACAATGTTGTATTTGACACAAAAGTCTGTTACCTCTTTAAATAGCTCATCCCAACCATTCTGCCTTATCTCTTGAACATCCTCTAAATGTGGTTTTAATCAATCCCACATCACGTACAATATTCTGATTTTTCAATTGCAAGCATTGTGACATATTGTTAGTCTTTCCCAATAATCTAATCATAAGATGCAATATGAGAACAAATTCGAAGGACTCCATGTGCTTTATCAACCCCGCGGCTGTGGTTCTTTGGGAAACATTATCTGCATCATTGTGTAGATTTTCTAATACCTTTAGAACTGGTTTCCACATCTCAACAAGACGTCACAATGTTTTTGATGTGATCCCCACCGTGAATCTCCAGGTCTTGCAAGGTTAGTTAATTGGTTTTCCCTCTTCCCTCAAGAAGTTCCCTAGCCTCTATTTGACCCACTGTTTCATCATGTTGTTCTTGGGCTAACTGATCATGTCTTTTACAAGATGCATTAACAATGTTAACAACCATGCTTGTGTACTAAAAAAAACCTTACTGATGAACAACACTTGGCAACAGCAACAACCACTAATTGTAACTGATGGGAAAAACAATGTATATAATGAGCATAAGGATTTTCCTCCAAGATCAATCTTTGCAACCCATGAAATTCCCCTCTCATGTTTGAAGCCCCATCATAACCCTGTCCTCTCAAATTAGACATAGATAAACCAAAAGCACCAAACATACCATTCAAAGCTATCTTCAGTGAGGTTGCTCTCGTGTCAGGAACATGCTCAACTGCAATGAATCTCTCAATCACCTCCCCTCGTTTGCCGAGATACCTACATAAGACAATGAACATGATTAATATATTAAAAACTTTAAGATAATAAACCTACAAGGCTAAAATATCACACACAACAATACGAGCAATGGTACTGACCTCAAACACATAGCCATTTGCTCCTTCATAGATGCATCTCTCGACTCATCAACAAGTAGTGCAAATTTACTATCTCCAATCTCCTCAAGATGACATTGGTGGTCTCTTTTGCACAAGCCTTGCATAAATCCAATTGTATCTTATGTGAAGTCAGCTTATGGTTATCTCCTGCATCCCCAAATAATTTTGCCACCTTTGGGTCTTTCTTTATGAACAAGTCCAACAACTCTTTGAAGTTACCCTTATTCATTGAGCTAGTAGACTCATCGTGACCACGAAAAGTAAGAGCTTGTAGTATCAAAAAATTGACAATACCCAATACAATCAAGAGACGAGCTTTGTATTCTTCTTCTTTCTTCTGAGAACCCCTAACATTGGGGTTATTATCAGTTGTTTGAGCTGAAGGACCTGTTTCTGCAGTTTCGGGGGTTCGAACTTGAAAAGAAGAATTCAATGTCTTGTTTCTTTTACTCATCTTGTGTTCCTGTAAAATTTTAGAGAAACAAAAAAAATTCAATGTCAAAATTGATTTCTACTTCTAACAAACAGACAAACAGTGGCATCTAGCAACTAAAATCATCATCGTCCAATCGAATGTGGCATCTATAAACAAAAACAAGGCATCTATCAAACTGTACTGAGAAGTGAGAAACAGAGGACTACCACCTTGCTGGACGCTAGGCAGCCTGCAGGCTGCAGCCTCGCGCGGTCGCGCCCTAGCCGGATTTGGACCCCATGCATATATCTATGTGCTATGGTAACTGAATTTTGTACATGGTTCACAGTCCGTTGAATCCGTAAAAACAAGTTCGTGCATGTAGCATTACTCTTGTCTAGCCTAGGGCTGGCTTGCAGATGAGTAAATTTGTACATGGTTCCACGATTTTCCTACTCACCTCGTGGGCAAACCATTACATGGTTCCTCCTGGAAAAGTGAAAAGTAACGAACCATTGGAGTTATTGATCACAAGAGCGATCGCTTGAAATTTTGTGGTTGTCATCCATTGGCTAATACAATTGCAAAACCTGTTTCTTGAAGAAGCAACACAAGAGTTGGTCACAGTTTCATATGAACCATGATGGCAAGGTTCTGCCTCCAGTAGTTTAGTGTTTCTGGATGAGGATTGTTTGGTTAATTACATCATCACAGTATCATTCATCGGTACATCCATTCCATTAGTGTCATCATCCAAGGTCGTTTCAGGTTTCCTCTTGCAATTGAGTCTTGGAGCTAGAGCTGGAGCCATACTGAGAAATTTGGAGATCCTGCTGTGTACAAAGGCGCTCTCCGTTAATTTCCCTGGGAGGAACTGCATGCCTTGTCGTGCTGTCTTGTTGGACATGTCAACCGCAATCACCAACGCGGCCTTATGATAATAATTGACCTTGGTCATGAAGTAGACGACGTCCTTGCCGTCGTCGTGCAAGCTGATCACGGGCAGGCTCGTGTAGTGGTTCTCAAAGGTCTGCGGGAGAGGCAGGCCTTGGTCGTCGTTGAACTCATGTGGCGGCAGTTGGAGAAGCACCGGGTCTATGGTGCTGCCAGCCTCGGATGCATGAACCACCTCGCTGTCCTGGCGCCAGCCTGCAGAAGGATGAGCAGTGTCCATGCTCCATGTGGCTGCCTTCCAGCCATCGTATGAGGGCACAACGCGGCCCCATACGCCGCCGTGTCGGTGCATGGTGACCTGCAGATGCAGCTGGACGTACTTGATGCGGCGGCCTCGGTCAATGACGGCGACGTTGCGGGAAGCCTGTGGGCTAGTTTGGACCCTCGTGACAGGGTTGGGTTCGAGGGGCGGCGGCATCGGATAGTAGTGGAGCACTGGGGTGCTGTCGAGCACATTGCATTGAAAGATGCCCTGCCACAGGTCGACGAAGCACATTGAGCCGTGTTCTCCGCCGATGGAGATGGCCTTGTGTGTCGCATACTTCTGATACTCAAAGCCGCCACCTTGCTGCTGCTGGTCCAGCAACAAGGGGAGCTCCTGGATTGACCACTTCTTGCTATCGGAGTTGTAGAGGTAAAGGTCAAACAAGTGATCGGTTGCTGATGGTTCCTGCTTGCGGAAGAGCCCAGCGACGACGTAGGAGACATCCTCCTCCTCCTCCTCGGCGCGGTAACCGCCGTGTGGGCGCAGAAAAATCCCGCCTTGGGGTTGGGGACGGGGCCGCAGGAGGAGGCCGAGATGAAAGCCGTCGTAGAAGCGGTGCAGGTGATGAGGGACGGGATCAGGCTTGGGAAGCCGCCTGAGCAAGGGTCTTATGCCTCTGCTGGCGTCGCCGGCATGATAGATGTAGTGGTCGCGCCCGCGATCGGACGAAAACTGTCCGACTTCGATGGCGAGGAGGGCGAGCCTGCCCTCCGTGGCGACGAGGACGGGCTCATAATCGAACTGGGATCCGATGCAGTGGGCGCACAGGTAGGAGACCTGCGGCGGGTCGGCGACGACGAAGGTGACCTGGATGGTGACGGCGCGGCCGTTGTAGTTGTCCGTGGCGTTGCAGGTGGCGGTGCTCGCGTTGGTGACGTCGGTGATGTAGGCCACCCGGTCGATGAGGCATGACGCCGGCGGAGGATTGTTCCCGCCGTCGACGACGGCGGGGGGTTGGGCTGGCGGATTCAGCGAGCCGCGCTTGAATTTGCCCATCTCCGCTCCTCCGGCCGGTGCTCCTTCCGCCTAATTGGCTTTCCTGGACGGGCGGCGGGTGGATACTTAAGGGCGGGAGAGGTAGCAATTGGAGGTGGAAACGGAGAAGAATCCGAAGGGGGGAAGAAGAAGGACTGCTCGGCTGGCGGCGGGCGGCTGGGGCTGGAATAGCGCGTCACTCTCTTACCTCTCTACTAGGGCAAGCGAAGCAAACAAGCCCTGCTACGGACTACAATCTCAGGTCTGGCCCAAGCCAAATAGGCCCAGCAAGGTGGTCAATTACGCGTGAATCCTTTCATTTCTGGAAAACAACACTTCTTTCCTTCACCCTAAAAACACAGTGTTCCCTAAATAAATTCCAAAATGTAAGGCGAGTCAAACTTTTCAACTCAATTTGACCAACTTTCTAGAAAAAAAGTATAAATATCTGCAATACCAAACTGGCATCTTTATTATCCATCATGTACAAAATTCAAAAAAATAAAGAAAACTCAAAAAAAATCCATCATGTAGTCCTTCCGATTCCTATTAATTGTCACTCAAATGGATGTATCTAGATGCGTTTTAGTGCTACATATATCCATTTGAGCAACAAATAATATGAATCGAAAGAAGTAATGTATTTTCATGTTTTATTTGCTTGTTATTGCAGATTTTCATATTTTGTTATATAAGTTTGTCAAACATAGAAAGTTTGACTTTTAAAAAAATGCAACCTTACATTCTTGGCACATTTGAAAAAGATAAACGTAAAACACTAATAAGTGAGCACGCGCTATGTGTGGTCTTTGAGGGCGGCCGTGGCCCCTCTGCTCCCTCCTCCTGCCTCGTCAAGCCGAAGATGGAGCCTGGGCTCGTCGCCGTAAAGAAGGAGCACGAGGACATGGCCGCCGCCGCCGAGACCGCACTCAAGTGGGCGCGGCAGGACTACGTCCAGCTTGAAATGGAGCGTCAGCACCGCGCCCTCGAGGATATTGCCGCCTGGCGCCGCGGTCGCGACGAGGGCGGTGTCATTGTCCTCGAGGACAACAACGACGAAGCACCGCCTGTCGGTGTGAAAACCTGCAGATCTCAGATAGGGGGACCCAAGATGTGCGTCTAAGGATCAATGGTAACAATGGACAAAGGGACATAATGTTTACCCAGGTTCTGGCCCTCTTAAAGCAGGTAATACCCTACTCCTGCTTGAATATATTCGAAGAGTATAGAGGTTACAAGAGTTGATCTACCTCGAGATCGTAGTGGCTAAACCCTAGATGTCTAGCCTATGAATATTCCGGATGATGGTAATGATGATAGCCTCCACGGACTAAACCCTTCGGTTTATATACACACCGCAGGGACCTAGGGTTTGTACAAGGTCGGTTCATCAGGGAAGAAAACAATACATCCGGACTCTAATCTTGTCGTTCACGTATAGAGAAGTCCCACCCGGACACGGAGGATGGTCTTTAGCTTGATCTTGTACGGCCCATTCAACCCGACCCATATTCCTAGGCCGGACACCTGAGGACCCCCCCCCCCCCGAATCCAGGACTCCCTCAGTAGCCCCGAACTTGCCTTCAATGACGATGTAGTATGCGGATATAAGTCTTCGGCTTTGCAAGGTGGGTTCTCCACCATACTCGGGATTGACAATAGTCCGACATCGGCTTCTGTGTCCAATCTTTATGATTCATTTCTGTCGTCGCCTCGATTTCCACGCGTCTAAGCTAATGCGAATGGTCCATTACCTTTTTACATTTTAACCCTTTAATAGGCACGGGCGGCGTTCATATAACGAGGTTAGATCCCCAAATGCCATCCCACATCGCCCAAAGAGCAACAGAGCAAACTATGAAAAAAGCTCAAACCATTTTGAATACAAAGTTCATAGAAGTCAATGTTGAATTAATAAGACCTTTGAAAGATGCAAAATCACTGCTGTGATGAGAGTAAACAGCATGTAGGCCATAGCACATGCAAGAAGCACTTACAGGAAGTGAAGCAAAAGGTTGTATAGCACGGCAACATGAGTAAGCTAACATCCCTACTAAAATTATTTCAGTGCTTATGTCTAGTTTTTTATAAATCATTAGGAAGTCCTAAATATTTTAATGCAAGATCACCAACAGGGCCCGACTGAAATATTTCAGTGTCTACATCTCTCTACTGAAAGTGCACTACTGAAATATTTCAATGGCTACGTGCGTGTACTGAAACTGCAGCACTAAAATATTTCAGTGCCTACGTGCGTGTACTGAAATAGCACCACCGAAATATTTCAGTGACTACGTGCGTGTACTGAAAGTGCAGCATTGAAATATTTCAGTGGCTACACGCGTGTACTGAAAGTGCACCACTGAAATATTTCAGTGGCTACGTGCGTGTACTGAAACTATACCACTGAAATATTTCAGTGGCTACATGCGTGTACTAAACATGCACTACCGAAATATTTCAGAAGCTACAATTGTATACTGAACTTGCCATACTGAAATATTTCAGTGGCTACCCGTGTGTACTGAAATTGCACTACTCAAACTTTTTTTAGTGTGAACCGGTTTGTACTGAAATTTCAATACTGAAATATTTCATAATCTTCAACCCTCTACTGAACTTGTAGTATTCAAATTTTTTAGTGTGTACCCAGAGTGTAGCACTGTGTACTGAACTCGGAGTACTCAAACATTATTTATTTTTTGCAACTAATTACACTGTAATCCAAAGGCTATGGATTGGAGTAGAAGTGCAGGTGAACATCAAATTCTACCACTACAACCATACAAATTTAGCCTAGGGTTCATATACATCCGAATCCAACCCCCATGTAGCATGTACTAAATCCTTCATACAATTTATTGAGAATAAAATGCCATCTAGCATTCACTCAGTGAACTATTATCATCGCTACCACCGCGACTGTAAGCACTAGCAGTAGGAAGATTAGGAGTGGGGAAGCTTACGCTAAACAATTGCACCGCCGCCGTTCAGACAAGGAGAGCGGCGAGGGAAGCGTCGAGAACGGCGGGGAAGCGAGGTCGCGACCACTGTCCTCCTCCTCTTGCGCTTCGGAGTCTCCGACTCGGTTGGAGGCTCCACAATCTGTAACGGCACCTCGTGCACTATGGGTTCCTGATCTAGTGGATGCTCTACCCTGGATCTGAACGCCCACCACCTCCGCCTGTCCCACGGGTTGGACAAATTGGCCTGCTCCATCGCCCAGAGGAGGATCTCGATCTTGTGCATC